TCTTTGGTGGAAACATTGGGATTCTCTGGTGGAAAAATGAGGAATTCTCTCCTGAAACATCGGGAATCCTCTGGTGAGCACATCGGGAATCCTCTGGTGAGCACATCAGGAATTGGCTGGTGAGAACATCGGGAATTCTCTGGTGGAAACACCGGGAATTCTCTGGCGACCCATCAGGGACTGGCTCTGTCCCCGCGGGAAGCTCCGGCGGCCGGAGCAGCACAAAGGACAAAGAGGAGCCCCCGATGGTGGGGACGGCGCCCTGAGTCACATCCCGGCCCTGAAAGGTCCCTTTGTCCCCATCGGGCGCCGGGAGCGGCCTGGGAATGCCGAGAGCGCCGGGAAGGAGCCCTGGAGGGGCCGGGGGGGCTCGGCCGGGGCCCCCGAGGGTCCCGAATCCCCCCAGAGCCGCTCGGGGACACCGGAACCGCGCTGATAGCCAGGATTTGGGGTGTCGGACACAGTATTGGGGTGCCAGACCCGATATTGGGGTACCCGCCCTGATTTGGGGTGCCAGACACGATATTGGGGTGCTGGACATGGTATTGGGGTGCCAGCCCCGATTTGGGGTGTCAGACACGGTATTGGGGTGTCAGACACGGTATTGGGGTATCCGCACAGATTTTGGGGTGATACACACGGTATTGGGGTGCCGGACACGATATTGGGGTGCCAGCCCAGATTTGGGATTCCAGATCCGATACTGGGGTGCCAGCTAAGATTTTGGGGTGCCCGCCCAGATTTTGGGATTCTAACACAGATTTTGGGATTCTAACCCAGATTTTGGCATATCCGTCCAGATTTTGGGGTGCCAGCCCAGATTTTGGTATTCTAACCCAGATTTTGGGATTTTAACCCAGGTTTTGGGGTTCCAGCTCAGATTTTGGGGTACCCACACTGATTTTGGGGTTCCCGCACAGATTTTGGGGTTCCAACTCAGATTTTGGGGTTCCAGACACGATTTTGTGTTTCCAGCCCCCCATTCCCACCCTGGATTTGGGATCCCACGCCTCCGAAGGAGCGCGCCCCTGTGGCAGCCCCAGCCTGGGCCGCAGCCAGGCGGTTCTGGGATGGATTCCCGCAGAAATTCCCGCTGTCCCGGGGAGGTCCGCGATGTTTTTCTCTCCTTTTCCTCTCTCCCATCCCAGCCTGGGTCTGGCATCAGCTGGGCTCGGCTCGGGTTTCACCCTCCGCCCGTTCCCAGCGCGGGGAGCTCGGGAAAATCACACGGAGCCAAGCCCGGGAATGTGAGAGAGTGAAATTCTTGCTAAAATGGGGGAAATTCAGTGAAATTCCCACTGAAATGGGGGGGAAATTCACTGAAATTCCCACTGGAATGGGGAAATCCAGTGAAATTCCCACTGAAATGGGGAAATTCAGTGAAATTCCCACTGAAATGGGGAGGGAAATCCAGTGAAATTCCCACTGAAATGGAGAAAATTCAGTGAAATTCCCACTGAAATGGGGGGAAATCCAGTGGAATTGGGAGATTCCTGATGGAAATGGGGAAAATTCTTCTGGAAATGGGGAAAATCCTGCTGAGATTGGAGATTCCTGCTGGAAATGGGGAAATTTCTGCTGGAAATGGGGAAAATGCTGCTGGGATTGGAGATTCCCACTGGAATTGGGAGATTCCCACTGGAATTGGGAGATTCCCACTGGAAATGGGAAAATCCTGCTGGAATTGGGAGATTCCTGTTGAAATTGGGATATTCCAGCTGGAATTGGGAGATTCCCATTGGAATTGGGAGATTCCCATGGGAATTTTGGAGATTCCTGCTTGAATTTGGCCCCAGCGGCACCAATTCCCTCAGTCCCAGCCCCTTGGGAGTGGGAAAAATGAGGAAAACTTCCCAAAATCCATAAAATCCCCGGGAAAGGATGGACATCTCCAGAGTGATCAGCCTGGAACAGCTCATGTCCCACCCTGGCGTTAATTGGATTAATTACCCGGGTTAATCACAGCTGAATCAGCTCTGGGACACCAATCCCGATTTTTACCTGGAAAAACCATTCCTGGCCTCATCCCAGCACAATTGGGGGCAGGAAGCTCCATTTTCCAGCCATGAAAATTCCATTTTTCCCATGGAATTGGGGCTTTTCCCTGCCCTGCTGTGGGGTCCTGGCCGCCCCCGCTGTCCCCTCAAAGGGTTCCCGATATTTTGATGTTTTTCCCCAAGAAAATCCCCAAGATTTTCCCTGAATTCCCAGCTCGGGGAGCTGCCAGGCCTCGGACAGATGTTTTCCATAAATAACCAAACAAGGAGTGCACGGGAACGGGGGAAGCAAATCCAATTAGGCTGGAGAAATTCTCTGGAAAGGGGCTGTGCTTTAATCAGCCCCGTATCAAAATAACAGATTTTAGCCCCGAATTCCTCCCTTTTTCCAGACAAAGCCTGGCTGGGAGCGTGTCCCCATCCCTCTCTTCCTAAATCTCAGTTCAGTCTCCTCAGCCCAACCCTTTAGAAAAAAAGAACAGGAATATCTGAGCCAAAAAATAAAATTAAAAAGGCAGAAATGAAAGGGTTTTGCAGACAGAAGGGAGAAAGCTTCAGAGTTCGCTCGATTTTCTCAGATAAAAATTGATTTTTCTCCTGCTGCTGGCTGGGATTTTGGCTCGGGATCGGGATCCCCTGGGACTGGGATTCGCAGTGTGAGTTTCGCTCAAATGGACAATTTGTTCCTTTAATTGGTTAAAACCTCAAAAGCCACAACAAGAGCGGCTGGGGGAGCCACAGGAACCAATCCTGTCCTTTTCCTTCCTTCCTTCCTTCCTTCCTTCCTTCCTTCCTTCCTTCCTTCCTTCCTTCCTTCCTTCCTTCCTTCCTTCCTTCCTTCCTTCCTTCCTTCCTTCCTTCCTTCTTTCCTTCCTTCCTTCCTTCCTTCCTTCCTTCCTTCCTTCCTTCCTTCCTTCCTCTCTCCCTTTCCTTTTTCCTTTCATCTTTCCTTTCCTTTCCTTTCCTTTCCTTTCCTTTCCTTTCCTTTCCTTTCCTTTCCTTTCCTTTCCTTTCCTTTCCTTTCCTTTCCTTTCCTTTCCTTTCCTTTCCTTTTCCTTTCCCCTCCCTATCCCAGGATAATCCGGGAAGCAGCCTCACCATTATCCCGGGAAAAATCCCATCATTTTCCCGGGAAAAATCCCCATATTTGTCCCGGGAATAACCCCCCTCCTTATCCCGGGCAGGATCCCCATCATCATCATCCCGCTCACGCCTTTCCCAGCTCGGATCCATCTGCGCCGCTCCCGGGGGAGTCTGAGCCCGTCCGCGCCAGCTCCGCCTCCCGCTCCATCGGGATCCCCTGGAATGGGCCTGGGATGAGCCCCCCAAACCCCTCCTGCCCCCCATAAACCCCCAAACCCCTCCTGCCCCCCGGAAATTCCCGTTCCCGGCCGTTCTGTCTCTCCCATCCCCAATTCTGGAACTCCTCGTTCCCCAAAGCCGAGCCGGGGATGGGCACCGGCTTTGGGTCGCTCCCGGCCCCGTTTTTCTCCCCTTTCCCCTTTCTCACCCCGCGGTTTCCCGGCACGGCCGAGCCCTCCCTCCGGTCCCGGCCGCTCTTCCCAGCGCGGGTCCCGCTAGAGGGCAACAGAAACCCGGGAAAGAAGCGCCGGGAAGGGCCTGGCAGCGCCGCCGGGGCTCGGTTCCCACCAAAACCAAACCAAAATCCTCCTGGACCCCGCCCGCCGCTGGGATTTACCGGCCCTGGGTTCCAGGAGGGTTTTGGGGGGGATCCGTCACTTTTTGCTCGCTCTGGCGCGGGAGCCGGGATCTCCTTTGGGGTCCAGGAGGAGTCTGAGAACGGCAGGATCAGAGAGGTCGGGAGAGGCTCCGAGGCCACCAAATCCCTCCTTTCCCTGAGGAATCCATTCCCGTGAGGCGCCTCTGTCCTCCCGCGTCCCCAGGGGATAAACCCCGACCCAGCTCCCAGGAAATTCCTGCCCAAGGTCGGGTTTCCAGCAGGGTTCGGCTTTCCAAGGGTTCCGGGAGGAGCCGAGCAGCGCTGCGGGACCCAGCCTGGCTCCGTTTCCCAAAAATCCCGCTCCAAACCCGGCCCCGGGAGCCTGGGGGCCGATCCGGCAGCGATCCTGCTCCAAACCGGGATCGTCCCGGGAATTCGCTCTGGTTTTTGCATCCCCAAAGCAGCTCAGGGAAAGGGGGAATGAGGGAGGGATGTGGAGAGGAGCACAAAGGGATGTAAAGAAATGGGATTTTCTCCTCAGGGCGGGAGAACCCCGGGTTTGATCCCAGTCCTGCCCTTGGGAAGTTGATTCCCGGTGTTCCAACTTGTCCTGGAAGGTGGGAGAAGGAGAACTGCTGCCCTCCACGGGCTAAAAGCCGGCACAGATCCCAACCAGCGGCCTCTGGCTCCTTTCTAGGGGATCTCTGTCATTCCTTTATGGATAAACGGGAATCCGAAGTGATCAAAGACTTTTGCCTTTCCCTGGATGGAGGGATGGGGCCGATCCCAGAGGGCGACGCCGGCGACAAGGACAGAGCTGAGACCCCCGCGTGTCCCCCCTGTGCCCCCATCCCGTTCTCCCAGTGCTGCCCCTCATGAGAGAGCCACGGGGACTTTGCAGAGCCCCCAGAGCCCCTCAGAGCCCCCCCAGGGACCCCTCAGGGACCACCCAGGGACCCCTCGGGGGGCTGCGCTGGGCCGCGGGCACCAAAGGGTTACTCCGGAGGTGCCGCTCGGCCCCGGCACCTGGCGGGGGAGGCGGGAGCGGAGCCGGAGCGAGCGGGGATGGAGCGAGCCGGGCATGGAGCGGAGTTTCCCTGAGCCCCGGGCGGGCGGGGGGCGCAGGGGCGGCCGCGGGGCCCGGGAGGCGGCGGGGCGGGCACGGGGACGGGGAGGGGTCAGCCCGGGGGACACGGACACGGCGGCGGCCGCAGGTGGAGCCGCCGCGCCTCGCCCGGACCCGGAGCGGCCCCGCGGGGCGGGGGGAGCCGCCGGGGCCACCATGGGCCGGGGGGGGCCGTAGGGACCGCTCCGCACGGGGACCCCCCCTGCCCCTCGCTGACGCCGGAGGAGAAGGGAGGGAAAGACGGAAAAAGGAGGAAAATCCCGGCGAAAGCCTCCCCGAAAGCGGAGCCGCCGAGAAGGCGGCGGCGCCGGCTGGAAAATGCTTCTTCTTCCTCGGAGCTGCGTCCTCCTCCTCCTCCAGGGCAGCATCGCGCTGCTGGTGAGCGCCGGGCGGGCAGGGGGGGACGGGGGCCGCGGGGGTCGCGCAGCCTCGGGCAGGGGGCGTGCGGGGATCCCCAAAGCCGAGCCCGCATTCCCGGGAGAAAACGCGTCCCAAAACTTCTGCGATTCGGCCGCGGGGAGCGGGCAGGGCTGCGAGGAGAAGGCTCCGGATGGCCCCAGAGATCCGCACCCACAAACCCCGCTCGGCAGCCGGGGAGGGCTCGGGCAGAGCCGGGGCCGAGCCGGAGCTTCCCGGAGCTTCCTCCGCTTCCCGCTGCCCCCTCGGCCGGGTCAGCCCCGGGCACGCCGGGGTTTTCGGGTCCCACAGCCCCCCCGGGTGCCCCCAGCCCCGCTGGGTGTGGGGTTTGGGGGTTCCGGGAGCGGAGCTGGCGCAGGAGCCCGGGGCAGCTCCCCCGGTGACAGCTCCGCTCCGCTGTCCCTTGTCCTGCGCTGTCCCCCTGCCCCGGGGGTCCCCAAGCCCTGGCGGGGATGGAGGGGGGTCAGGGGTGGGGGTGAGGGCACAGGGGGTGCAGGGGTTGTGCTCTGAGCGGGCAGAAACAGAATCGGAGCCATCCTGGCTGCTCGCACCCATTCCCGGAGCGGCCGGGAGGGAGGAGAGCTGGAGGTGCCGCTGCCGGAGGGGAAACAGAGGAGAATAAAGGGGAAATGGGGGCAGCGAGACTGGGGAAGGGCTGGGGAAGGGGCTGGCAGGGCTTGGTGACCATGGGGAAGGGGCTGGCAGGGCTCGATGACACTGGGGAAGGGGCTTGGTGACACTGGGGAAGGGGCTGGCAGGGGTGGGTGACACTGGGGAAGGGGCTCGGTGACACTGGGGAAGGGGCTGGCAGGGGATGAGTGACCATGGGGAAGGGGCTAACAGGGCTCAGTGACCATGGGGAAGGGGTTGGCAGGGCTCGGTGATATTGGGGAAGGGGCTGGCAGGGCTTGGTGACCATGGGGAAGGGGCTGGCAGGGGATGAGTGACCATGGGGAAGGGGCTTGGTGACGCTGGGGAAGGGGCTGGCAGGGCTGGGTGACACTGGCAGGGCTCGATGCCACCCGCAGCCCCTCCGTGCCCCCATCCAGGTGTTGTGCGCTCCAGAGGACCCCGGGAAAGGAGCGGATCCAGGCGAGCCCCGGGCCCGCGGCAGAGCCCCGAGGCTGCGGGAGCTGCTCTCCCCAAAACCCCTCCCGGGCCTGGGCCCGGCCCTGCCGCAGAACCGGAGCCTGCCGGGGCCGGGCAGCGCCTCCCGAGAGCTCGGGGGGGCCCCGGGGAACCGGGCCGGGCTGGAGCTCCCGGTGAACCGGGCAGGGCTGGAGCTCGGGGCAGCCCTGCAGAACCGGGCTGGGCTGGAGCTCCCGGTTCACCGGCCGGCATTGGAGCTCCCGGTTCACCGGCCTGCGTTGGAGCTCGCTCCCCGGTCACAGCGGGACCCGTGGCCAGCCCCGGGCAGGCCCCTGCAGAAGCTTTTCGGCTGGGGAGACTTTTACTCCAACATCAAGACGGTGAAGCTGAACCTGCTGATCACGGGCAAGGTGGTGGATCACGGCAACGGCAGCGTGAACGTCTTCTTCCAGCACAACTCCACGGGCCACGGCAACATCTCCGTGAGCCTCGTGCCGCCCACCAAGGCCGTGCAGTTCGACCTGGAGCAGCAGATCTTCATGGAGGCCAAGGAGTCCAAGGTGTTCAACTGCCGCGTGGAGTCGGAGCAGGTGGCGCGGGCCAGGAAGACGTCGCTGTGCACCTTCGACCCGGCCAAGACGTGCTCGCAGGAGCACACGCAGAGCCGCGCGGCCTGGCTGTGCTCGCAGCCCTTCCGCGCCGTCTGCGTCTACGTCACCTTCTACAGCAGCGACTACCGCCTGGTGCAGAAGGTGTGTCCCGACTACAACCGCCACAGCCAGCGGCCCTACTTCCCCTCGGGGTGAGCCCCGGGATGGAGATTCCCGCGGTTCCTGGGGCACCGAATCCCGGGATTCCTGGGGCACCGAATCCTGGGATTCCTGGGCACCGAATCCCGAGATTCCGGGGCAGCGATTCCTGAGATTCCTGGGCCACCATTCACGGGCAGCGATTCCTGGGCAGCGATTCCTGCAGTTCCCGGGGCACCAAATCCTGGGATTTCTGGGGCACCGAATCCCAGGGTTCTAGGGCAGCGATTCCTGAGATTCCTGGGCCTCCATTCACGGGCAGCGATTCCCCGGGCACCGAATCCTGGGATTCTGGGGCAGCAATTCTTGGGATTCCTGGGGCTGCCATTCCCAGGCAGTGATTCCCGCCTTTCCCGCGGCACCGAATCCCAGGATTCTGGAGCAGCGATTCCTGAGATTCCTGGGCCACCATTCCTGGGGAGCGATTCTGGGGCCACAATTCCCAGGCTGGGATTCTGGGGCTGTGATTCTGGGACAGCGATTCCCGGGATTCCTGGGCCGCCATTCCTGGGCAGCGACTCCGGGGCGGCAATTCCTGGGCCGTGATTCCCAGGCTGGGATTCCGGGGCTGTGATTCTGGGACAGTGATGATTCCCGGGATTCCTGGGTTGCCATTCCCTGCCAGAGATTCTTGGGTCGCGATTCTGGGACAGCAATTCCGGGGTCGCGATTCTGGGACAGCGATTCTCGGGATTCCTGGGCCTCCATTCCCTGGCAGAGATTCCAGGCTGCGATTCCCTGGCCACGATTCTGGGGTCGCGATTCCCGGACAGCGATTCCCGAGATCCTGGGGGCACCAGGGGCAGCGGGGAGGGATGGGGATGACTTTGGAATGGGGATACTCCCTGGAAAACGCAAGCATGGAAGGAGAGAAGAATTTCCCGTTTTCCCCCGGTGGAAGAGCGGCAGTGGTGGCCCCGGGATGGGGAGCGAGGGCCGGATTCGGGATGTGGAATCAAGGGGAGCGAGGGCCGGATTCGGGATGTGGGATCAGGACAGAGCCACGGTCGGGACTCGAGTTCCTCAGTGCAATAATGGCTCGGCCTGCTTGGGGTTGGGGATTCCAGGTTAAAAGGGCTCCGTTGGAGGAAGGGTCGCAGCCCCTGGAGAGCGGGAAGAGCTCGGGAAAGGGGGGAAAAGCCGCCTGATGGTGCCACTGATCCCAATCCCAGCCCAACCCCAGCCCCGATCCCAGCCCCGATCCCTGTTCCGCTCCCGGCGCCGCCGTTCCCGGGCACAGGGGTGGGAACGGGAGCTCGGGGCTGGGATTTCATTCCCAGGGAAGGAACGAGGAACGGGAACTGCCCCGCGCCGCCCCGGAGAGGGAATAAAGCGTTCACGGTGGCACCGAGGCAGGGCCGGAGTTTTTTGTGGGAGTTTTTCATGGGAGGAGAGAGAAAACAAACGTGTGGGGTTGGGAATGATGGCCAAGATCCAGGCCCGAGTCCAGCTCCTTGCTGGGAATGGGCTCCAGCTTTGGGCTGCCAGGACCTGGCCTCCCAGACTCCCTTTATGTGGGTATTCCCAATTTCCTCCCCTTCCCCAGGAATCCAAACCTCAGGTTCCCATTTTCGTGGCGTTCCCAATTCCCTCCCCTTCCCCAGGAATCCAAACCTCAGGTTCCCATTTTCGTGGTGTTCCCGATTTCCTCCCCTTCCCCAGACACCCGCATTTCAGTCTCTCACCTATGTGGGTATTCCCAGCTCCCAGGTGTTCCCATCTCCTCCCCTTCCCAGACATCCAAATTTCAGGCTCCTATTTTTGGGGCATTCCCAACCTCCTCCCCTTCGCAGCCATCCAAACTTCCGTCTCCCACTTCCCCTGGCACCTTCCCTCCTCCAGAAAAGACCAAAAAAAGCCACTTCCCTTCCCTTTCCCCCCTGAATTCCCTGAATCCAGAGCACCAGGCCAGCTCCAAAAATTCCTTCCCACCCTCACAGGACAGGTCCTGCCCCGGAGCTGGGTTTGCACGTCCCAAAATTTATTTATTCCCAAAATAAATCCCTTCTCCAGAGCTCTTTGCTGGCTGCTTTGCTGGCAGAATTTCAGGATGAGCTCCCACATCCAGCCAGGAGCTGCTCCCCAAAACCCACAGAACCTCCAGAATCCATGAGGAGATTTTCCTCACAGAGCCCCGAAAGTTGGGAAAAGCTCCGGGAAATTTCAGCTTTCCAGGAAATAACGGGAGCGAGTTTGGGTTGAGGAGGGGAGGGGAGGGGAGAGGGAAATGTGGGGAACTACAACCGTTCCCGAAGGACTCGGGTTTGTGGGAGGAAAGAGACACAAAAACCGTTAAAATTCTCTCATTAAAAAACAAACCGAACCCAAAGAAATCCCGGCACAAAAGTTGGAGAAATGCGGAGGAATCGCAGGGAATCGGCGGCGGGAGCAGGAGGAGCTCCAAGGATGCGCGGGGAGATGCGGAGCCGCGGTTTCTAAGGAGACCAGGACGGGCCATTATTCCAGCCTGGAGAGGAGAATTCCTGCTCCAGGAGCCACGCAGGAGCTGCGGGAGCAGCAGCGCCCCAGGAAAAATCCCCGCACCCCAAACCCATCCCAAAGCCATCCCAAACCCATCCCAAACCCACCCCAAACCCACCCCAAACCCCACCCCCAAACCCATCCCAAACCCACCCCAAACCCATCCCAAACCCACCCCAAACCCATCCCCAACCCATCCCAAACCCATCCCAAACCCATCCCAAACCCACCCCAAACCCTTCCCAAACCCATCCCAAACCCATCCCAAACCCTCCCAAACCCACCCCAAACCCACCCCAAACCCTTCCCAAACCCATCCCAAACCCATCCCAAACCCATCCCCAACCCACCCCAAACCCTTCCCATACCCACCCCAAACCCACCCCCAAACCCACCCCAAACCCCATCCCAAACCCACCCCAAACCCATCCCAAACCCCTTCCCAAACCCACCCCATACCCATCCCAAACCATCCCAAACCCACTCCAAACCCATCCCAAACCCACCCCAAACCCACTCCAAACCCATCCCAAACCCATCCCAAACCCACCCCAAACCCACCCCAAACCCTTCCCAAACCCATCCCAAACCCACCCCAAACCCATCCCAAACCCACCCCAACCCACCCCAAACCCACCCCAAACCCACCCCAAACCCATCCCAAACCCATCCCAAACCCACCCCAAACCCACCCCAAACCCATCCCAAACCCTTCCCAAACCCACCCCAAACCCATCCCAAACCATCCCAAACCCATCCCAAACCCATCCCAAATCCACCCCAAACCCATCCCAAACCCATCCCAAACCCATCCCAAACCCATCCCAAACCCATCCCCAACCCACCCCAAACCCATCCCATACCCACCCCAAACCCACCCCAAACCCATCCCATACCCATCCATACCCATCCCAAACCCATCCCAAACCCACCCCATACCCATCCCAAACCCACCCCAAACCCAACCCCCATACCCATCCCAAACCCATCCCA